TATTCTCTAAAGCTAATATCCAATAAGATATAAAGAATTATTTATCCAATCATATTGTGATATGAAGTGATCAATAAAATATAATTAACTAATTTCTACTAAAAGTTCATATTACAACAATATTACACATTTTTCAAGAGAAGACTATTATTAATCAATAGATAAGATTATTTATTTCTATGTGATATATTTTTCTAATTATTGATGTGTTATGTATTTTTCAAAAGGAGATTATTATTAATTAACAGATAAGAGTTCTTATTTAAATGACTTATTATGAAATCTATCTTTCTTATTTATACTTTTTATTTAAATCTTATTAAAATAATATTTATAGAATAAATACAATAACAAATTAATTCTTCAGATGATAATTCTTTTATTAAAATAGCATATTCTTAATCTGAAAATATATTCAATCTAATATTAATTATACCAAAACTAATTTTTAATAATCTTTGATTAATATTATTAAATATCATTCAATAGGTATTATTAAATATTAATTTTTAACTTTATAAATCACATACAGATTGCTATTACTTCTAGTTCATTAAAATCATCCACTCTTACTGGTTTATCTAGAATATTAACTAGTTTAACAAGAATATCATTTAAATTATATGATATAGATAAGCATACTCAACATGAAAAATATTATAATGAAGTTATATTAAAATAAGATCAATAACTCAAAGTAATTTATAAGCTCCAAAAGATAATATTTGATAAATTAGAAAGAATTGAGATATAAATGAGAAAGAAATAAGATAAAAAAATAGATTTAAGTGGAAAAATATGGGCTATAAGTATATATTATTTTAATTCTCTTATATATATTATTAAATTCAAAATTTGAACAATTATAAAATGGTTATAGCAATATCTGTTTGAGTTTTTTTTTAACTAAATTATAATTACAATTCAATAATTATAAGAAGAAATTTGAATCCTGGCTCAATCACAATCACTCCAATTATTTGCAAGAAATCAAAAAATATAAATGGATTAATACTTTTTCTGGATAATATTACTCAGCAATAATTATTATAATTATAGTTTTATTAAATTTTATTAATAATTTTTATATCTCAATTAGATTATGAGAAGAATGAAAGAAATATATAATTTTAATATGGTGATAGTTAAGAAAGCAATTTTTCATGTCTTTGAAATAAATAGCTTATCTTTAATTAATAACCAAAAAAATTTTAATAAAATTTCTGAATAGAAAGCATTATTGGAAGTGGCTAAATATTATAATAAATTATTTTAACTTGAAAATAATGGCACTAGCAATATTAATCATATTGCTTATATCATCTTTTTATTTTTTTATGAAAAACTGTTATTCATCAACTTATGTGTATATATTATGAATGTATATGATATTATACTAAATTCAAATTATCTATCAATTAAAATAAGTAAAATTTCATTATAATATCACATAGATAAATACAAAGTAAGCTTTTACTTATACTATATATAATCTTTTATAACTAATATTAATTTTCTTTTAGGAAATATATCAAAAAAAATACAAATCTAATATGTAAAGACTCAATAAGTATCATTGAAGATGAAAGACTTGATGAAAAAAAATAAATTAGAACTTAAAGATAATAAAGATGATAATAATATAAGTAATAATACTATTTAACAAGAAATATATAATTTTCACGCAATAAATAACTTATTTATAGAGAGTGAAGATAAAAATATTAATCAATTAGTTGAGAATTATTAGAATTGTATTTAAAGTAATATATTTATTAAATAGATTTTTATTTTAATAATAAAGAATTCTGAATTTAATAATAAAAATCATTAAATAATGATATTTAATGAAATAAATTAATTTAACAAATTTACATCATTAAATAATAATATTTAATGATCTACACTATTAAATAATGATATTTAACAAATTTATACTATTAAATAATAATATTTAATAATCTATATTATTAAATAATAATATTTAATGATTTATATTATTAAATAATAATATTTAACAAATTTATATTATTAAATAATAATATTTAATGATCTATATTATTAAATAATGAAATTTAATAATTTAGTCTGTTAAATGATAATATTTAATAATATTTATTATTAAATAATGATATTTAATAATATACATCATAAAATAATAATATTTAATAATATACATCATAAAATAATAATATTTAATAATATACATTATAAAATAATAATATTTAATGATATACTTCATTAAATAATATACATTAATAACTTCAATATATATCAATATATATCAAATATCTATTTTGATATACATTAATGACTCTGATATATATCAATATATAACTAATAATAAAAATTGATACAAATCATCCCAAAAAATTTCCTGATATGTCACTTATTATTTCAATTTCTTCTTTCATGGCACCATTCTAGTCTTTTTTTATGATTTAGTTCAGAAATAAATAGTTTTCTCTTTCCAGCTCATCCATAAAATCTCTCAATATGTAAAGTACACTTTATAGTACTAGAAAATACTGTAATTGATAAAGATTCACTAAATTTTTTTGTCATTTCCTCTAATAATTGTTACCAATCTTCTTTAACTAAGTTTATAAGACTTCTAATTTCTCTATCTGTGAATTTTGGTGGCCTTCCTGAACATGGAGCATCTGTAACATTTCCTGAATTTTCATATTTTGTTATAGTGTCATGAATAGTGATTTTTAGAATATTCAAGAATTTCTCCAATATTTCATTCACTATGGCCTCCTTTCCAGAAACCTATAATCTCTCCTCATTCAAACTCAGTAAGTTCACACCTTTTGGACATTATAAAAGAAAAAAAAATTTATTTTCAGGTAGCTGAAGTCAAGAGCTGTATGGAAAAAAAATTTTATTTATTTATGCTTAAAAATTTTGTCGTAATCTCATTTTAAAAGGTAATGATCTGTAATCTTAAATCAGGTGGTCAGAGACTTTTGACTGGGGAGTGTACATGTATGAGTAACTCTTTAATTTTTTTATAAACACACATAGGTACTGTTGCTAATTGGTGTTATAGACGGGAATTATCCCTAACGCTTACCATCTACACACCAATAAAGATCTTTGGGGCCCAGAACGATGGCTCGTCCCAGAAAGAATTCCAAAGGATGTGTTCTACCCTTTTTCAGCTGGTTATTATTAGTAGTTATTGGTTTATTTATTGTTTATGTATCTTATGATTTTGCGTATGATAATACGTATAGAATAGAGAAGTTGTAGGAATCTATTTCGGTAATTTTAATCAAAAGTGATATTAAGCAATACACTAAATAAACTCTTTACATTTTGCATTGCTTGAAATGCGGCTAATAATTGCTTCACTTGTTCGTCATTACAAATTTACTGATATCCAGGGGCAACCATTTGATATCAACCACTTTATTATGCTGACGTTCATTAATCCCAATATAATATTTTGTGAATTTGAGAGATGAGGTTTGTGAATAATTGCTGCAAGCATTAGAGAGAGTTAGAGAACCAGAGAATAATTCAACCGTTTGGATCCACAGTAGCACCTCACAATACTTACAGAACTTCAACCAAGTCGTTCCGTGTTGTGTTATGCTATTTTTGCGTGTGATTATATTCTCAATCTTCCATTAATAGGGCCCATTTATAGCTCCATAATAATATTTATGAATCTTTCATCCGAAACATTAATTTCTTCAGGCTTTTCATTTCTTGTAGAATCAACTGTTCTAGAAAAAATATTTTTCGTTAGGAAACAAAAAGCAATTTCATAGATAAAACATTCGAGTTACAAATTGGCATCAAACAACAGGAATGAAAATCAATTAATTCGTATAAAATTAAATTCTCTAATAAGAACTAGTATTACCACTTAAATGAGAATATGAATTATTAGAAATTTAAATGTACCTTACCTCGTTGCTGTTCTAATTCATTTGACCTGGATGTTCCTTCAAATCGAATCTGTAAAATTTTGATTTCCTTTATCTCAATTTTTTTTCTTGCGTTCATAAAAAACTTGGGCAATCGTAATCCATCAGGCATGTATAAATACTGTATGTTAAAATAACGATAACGAAAATGTATCTAAATCTGTAAGTAAGAGAAACAATAAATAAGTTCTGAAAAAAATAAAATGGAAGGCTATTTCAATGGAAGGTAAATAAACGATATTAATTTTAAGCCATGTATGATGTAGGCGGTATAAATTACGTAACAGTCTATCTGATGATATATATAATAGCATTTATCATACATTTTACTAGGGTTTTCTATGATTTTCTCAGATATCATATCGATAGTTAACTATATCACGGGACACCGAAAAATTAATCACTCCTATTTATCATCGCGCGTAAATAAACAAACGTATCACGATAAACAAGATAAACAAGATAAACAAACGTTTGATAGATTTATTTATAAAAGGTTTCATTCGTCTCATATTTTTTTATTTCCTCTTTACTCATTTTTGCTTGTCTTTTTACTTTTACTTGTCTTTTTACTTGTCTTTTTCCTCACTTTTGCCTGCTTATTCGCTTTACCCACTCTTGTTTGCTCATTTTCGCTTGTCCACGCTTGTTATCTCGTTTTTGTTCACTCTTGCTTGCTCACTCTCGCCCTTGCCTCTCCTTTTATTTTATTCACTCACGCTCTTGTCTATTTTCGCTCACTTTCGCTTGTTTTATATTTTCGCTCGCCCGCTTGCTTTAGTTCAATTATCTCTTCAATCTTGTTCACTTTTCGCTTGCCCAAACTGCCTCTTTGTTTGCTTTCTCTTGTGCTCCCTTATAACCACTCTTGTTCATTCGCTTGCCCACTCGCTCTATCGTTTCTTGCTCTCGCGAATTTGTGCTCTTCCATTTGCTCACTCATTTTGTTAAATATATTTCTCGAACGAATTTATATTGCTTCTATTTTTCTTTTTATTCGGAACTTATTTAAGCCATGTTTTAGAGTTACAAAGATCCTATGACGGGCTATAACCTCGGATTACATGGTTGTGAGTCTAATTATATAGGTGAGTGGGTGCACACGCTTGCTAAGTGAATGTATCTTGGTCACGCTCCTTGAAATCTTTTGCG